GGGGGGTCCCTATTTTTCCTTTTCACTTCTTCCTTCTTAGTACCTTACTTTTTTCCCTCCCTTTCTATTTTCTCTTACTTTTCTTTTCTTCCCTTCTTTACTTCTTAGCACCTTCCAGTTTCAAGTCCTTCCCAAATTCTAAATTTTAACTACTTTTATTCACCCTTATCAAATCTGATTTTCCCTCACTTTATTTTCTTGCCTAAATCTGAAATCCTGATTGTATTTGATTCGTCTTTCTATTTTAAAATCATAAGTTAATAATTTTATATAACATATTAGCACTTTTGGTTAATAAAAACGCCACTTCACTTTGTGCTCTGCCCTTTGCGCTTTGAAGCAAAATAAAGCCTTGTGCATTGCGTTTTGATAACACTACTGTTATCTAGAATAATAAAGATATGTGTGAGGATATATAAGGATGGACATTTAAAAAAAAAAGTGCCTCAAGCAAGTTATACAATAAAATGGCATTTTACAAAATTGTAACTAGGAAAGGTTTATTGTATAAATTTGAGTCCCAAGCAATAAAAAGCTAGTTAATAGTTAAATTAAGCATAGTGAATATGACAATATTAATTGGATGTGTCGCAAAATTGGAAAAGAAAAGATAATTGTAAATAAAATTGAATGATTTGTACATGCACAATGAAGAAGAAAAAAATAAAACCATTAGATGAATATAAAAGTGGTACAAAAGAATAATGAGAAAATAAATGGAGCTAACTTAATATTGATTGAAGTTGTTCAAAAGGATTTGTAAGGAATATTAACACCTCATGAAGCACTTATGCGAGAAAATTTTGAAAATAGGCCCCAAAAAGTTGAGATAAACTTCAGGTCTCTTGATGATCTTTTTAGAAGAAGATATTTTTCTCCTTTAGAAGGAACATTATACACACAATTTCTACAAAATGTCGCATGCTTGAGATAAAAAAATAAACAAAAAAATATATAGAACAATTGTATAACATTAAAAGGTTGTTCACCTCAAGTATCTGATGCTTGAGGATGGGCACTAGTAATGAGATTGCCTTTCAAATGAATAATTTAGAAGGACGAATACAGTAATCAAGTGACACCTCAATGTTCTTAGTCACCTAGTGATACCGAGGTTAAAGAAACCTTAATATATATATGATTAATTCATTAAACTGAACAGCTTTCTAAAAGGTGCAATAATGATCAGAACAACAAGCTTTGCAATTTGACCATTTAAAAGTTTCTGTTACTTAAACTATGCATATGTAGATACTTGAAGCAATGAAGTTAACAAAAACGTACAGTCAATTCATTTGAAACAACTTTCGAAGGAGTGGTATCTAGTAGCAGATGAGCAGATCCTTCATCAAGTTTATTATCTATATCACCTCCAAAGCCCTGAAAAAAAAAAGGAACACACAAAATCAATGAAGATCAAATACTAACCACTGCAATACCTGATAAGAAATGGAACTCCACCGTTAAATGCTAATAAAAAAGCAATAGATCCGACTGCTAGGCAAATCAGCAATATGACGCACAAAATCATAAAACATTGACACTTGACGTTCAATTAATTTAAACTCTTAATTTTAAAAACTACTTATTTCTTTTGATAAAAAATAAAAATATAGAAAGAATCAATTCAATTAATTGAATAGTTTCTACTACAAAAAGTACATAGAAATTTAGAACAGCGAATATCATGCACTTGTAGTAACCCAAATTATATAAAACTTGGATGACATTAATCATGAATTCAACTAAACGTAAAATTTACAAAAATAAAATAAAGTAGACGTCATCAAAATAAAATAAAATAAAAAACAAGCAAGGTGCTTGTAAAGGTCGATTGACAATCCCCAAAATCTTCAAATATTTCACTTGACCAAAAATAAGTCGTGAAAGTAGAAGGAATAACAAATCTAAAAAAATATAATTAAATATTCTTGTACCTGAAAAATACCTCAATTTATAAGAAAACCCCATAAATAGTTATGATTGATTGCTTATGCGGCAGAAAATAAAATCAATCCAATCTCACACAAATCCAGGACATATTGGTCTTACAAAATTCTCAGTCATCTCTACAAACAATATTTATTGTTTGGCTTGATTTTTCAAGAGATTAGAACAAAGCACCATCCAAAAATATATCTCCATGAAGAGCTTTATATTCTTGATTTGAGGCTTCCTATGGGCACAAAAACCTATGTATAATTATGCCTCTAGTTAACGATAGAGAACTTTGATTAAAACTAGTTTTCAGGCACGAAAATTTAAAATGATAGTCGAGTTGGATTGGGCAGAGAAAGATGCATTCATATGGCTGAGAGCAAAAGGTGGGTGAGTAAAAGATATCCAATCAAAATCTCATAGTTATATAATCTCTATTTATTACAATACATGATCTACTTCATTAAAGGAGGCAGTAGATTCAATCTAATCGAAAGTTCCTTATCATCAGCACCATTTTATATTGTCTAAGGGTACCTCATTGGACGAAGGGAAACCAGGTTGAGGGCCTATTGCATGACAAATCTTGGATAATATAGAGCTTCACGCCCTATCAAATGCATCATATGGCTCATAACTCATAGTAAAACATTAAAGAGCATATAAGATTGGCAGCCCCTTGTTTGTGGTTGAAGGGAATATTTTTGGTATGACAACTTGACCAGAAGGAATTCTATCATGCCCTTATTAATGGTCATATGAGCGTAGGAAAAGAAACAGACATTTTGATCTTTGGCAAAGTTAGACATAAATTTCTCACTACTGACAAGCTCATGCGGAGGGTTGACGGATGGTAGTCAAATAATCCTTGAGCTATTAGTCTTTATACAATTTTTTTTCTTATATGTGTGGGTATGGGTCCATTATATTTATTTTTACTTTATATGTGGCAAACGGGTAGGCGTGGTCGGTGACTTTGTAGCCAAAAGTTTTAATGATATCATTAATCTCTCCAATTAAGATTTATTTTAAATTAACACATCATAGAGATGAAGAGAGGATTGGGGTATTTTCCTTAATGACTAAGAGCTATTTATTTCTTGATAAACCCCTCGATTAAAAAAATTTAATAATTGAATTCATAAATGGACAAGATGTTTTCAAGTATTTTGATTTATTTGAATTGCAGGTGTTGAAAGCACATGCTGAAAAGATAGGATGACCAATAATTGGAGAAGACATTTTCAAGGAAATTTGTTAATTTGTCCCATTTGTAAGAGTCACTATGCCAACCGGAGATTCCACAACACCCATGTATGACACTAAATGTTCTATTTGGGGCAGTTACAACCATTTGAAGTAGTTGCTACGGCGAAGCTATTGGGGGTGAAGTTGTGTCTGTTTGGTTAATTCAACTATGTAGGAAAATTGTTTCAGTTGTTTCTGAAATAAAGATCGCATTGCCCTTCTACATATGGTATATGTAAGCTAACCGATTCAAAACTAACACATACATGATAACACAAGTGACATTCATAAGCTCTGAATAAGTCACAAGTACAAAATATTACATCAAAAGTTATACCTCACATAATACTGAGGATCACAAAAATTAAAATTATAATAGCAACAAGTCCAAAATATTATATTATTTCTTTCCTAATTCGATATTTTAAATTAAGTTTTTCTGTGCAGGAACTATTTATATGTTGTTGTTTTATGGTTTGAAGGACTTTTGACTTGATTTGTCTTTTGGAGATGTTTTCTCCTGATTATCTCTATTGAAGTGATGTATCCTTAGATTTCTTTTAGGTGGTGTCCGTAACTTGATAGTATCAAGGTGGTGATCTCTCCCCAAACACACAGAGGCCTCCATCATTGTTCGTAGTAGGAAAACTGCTTTTCTCAGTTTTGGTTCATTGTCCCACCGTTATCAACAGCACAATTTCACCCGATACCCCTCCTTGACTTCTGTGTTTCACTATTTTGTGGTTTTCCTTGTTGTTTTCAGTCGGAATAGCCACCGTACATCATCTATCCCTCACCAAATATCGTCGATCGCCCAAAATTTTATCTACTTACCATTCCTCTACCTCCTCCCTGTTAGACTCGCTTCCTAAACACCTTCTAGGAGCCCTAAATTGATGTCAATTTGTTTCAGAGCCCGGAAAATCCAAGATTTTTTAGGGATTTGTCTTTTTTTTCCTAATCCAAAATTAAAAAAAAATTCCACCATTCCCAAATTATTCCTGTCAAAATTCCTAACTCTAACCCTAAATTTTCAAAATTCATCTTTCTTGCCTCAAACAAAAATCCACTACGACGCTTTCCACAAAAAGCGTAAACCTTGACCACCATTAAATCGCAATGCTAAATCTGCCAGAAAACTAAACAAGAGGAAATGACATAATACTGCTTATAAGAAATTCACAAAGAGGTGTTAGAAAATTTCCTATGAAAAATATGCAGTAGGAAATCCCCTAACTGCAACAAAGCCTTACTGCATTCGAAAGAAAACAATTCGGAGATATCACCCGTAGCCATAAGAGTGACTTGCCAAATCAAAATAATGAAATGAACCACTTCCATCAGACAACTTTCAGTGATGAAAACAACTATCCTAAAGATTTGGCATGAAATATCAAAAGAGAAGCCAAGATCTTAGAGTAAAAATCGATTATAGGATTTTGACGGTCGCAGGGATCTGAAAAAATGCATCGAGTGGCCCCAGGCAGTAAAACGGGTCTTTGAATAAAAGTATATTCCACCGAACATAATGTTAAAGCTAAGATCAGTCAATTTAAGGAATAGTGTATCTCTTTGATGAGAGAATTTAAAGATTCTTCAACAACGAAAAAGTAAGAGAAACTTTACTTCCAGGTTCAAGATGAAATGAGAGATGCAACTCAAGTACCTGCTAGCACATTACATACAAGACATGTTCTTGAGGCCTCACCGCTTACAACAATAATATCTCTAAGTAGAGGAATACCCAGCTGAGTTTAAGCGACTTATGTCAGAGTATGAGCTAGTGGAGCCCGAGGAGAACATCACAACATAATATCTGAGGGAAATGAGACCATCCATTGGCTAGGTGGTACAGTTGCAGTCTATTTGACATTCCAAGATCGCCAGACCCTTGCGCTGATGGTGGAGAGACAACATTGCAATATCAGGTCTACACAACCCTCTAAGCAAATTTTAAACATCGAAACAGGCAGCATGAGCACACCCATGGAGCATCCAAGCCGGCCTCTCCTGAGGAGAAACTAGTTAATAGTGGAGAATGGGTGAAGCCCACCAGCATCCACCCAGAGATCAGTCTTAGCCGAAAAGTGCTTCAAGTGCCAATGATTTAGGAATATTGAATCAAATTGCCTAAAAAAGAGAGTGATCTCTTTCAATGAGAAAGGAACAGTTGAAGAAATCGATAATAATCCAATAAGGGATGAAGACTTCAGAGAGAAGACTCAACTTCCAGTCAACGGGAAAGAGACGCTAGTGATTTAAGCTAGTTCATGAGAGACTCCAACTAGATTAACATTGATTGTTCTAGAATATAGTGAATACGAGGAGCCGATACCAAAGAAGAGGCAGCCCCTACTAAGGGAATTACTGAATATCTTGATCGACAGTTTGCCTCCTAGGTGATTGTCACTAAGAGTGGTTCAGCATGCCACAAATTTCATTCCAAACATACTTGTTTATCAGATATGCCAAGCCAAGTATGAGAAATGGGAGAAGCATGTTTCATATATAATGGCTCGACGGTTGGTTTGTGAGAATATTCACCCTTATGTGGTTCTAGATTTGGTTGTGTCAAAAAAGAATGACAACTTATTATATCAAGACAGTCTTTAAAATGGTAAATGTGTTTCCAAGTTGCATAAAATGAACGTGAGCCTAGAGTTTGGAATGGGACTACCTTTAATTATGTTTCCGTATTTTTTTTTATTTTTTGTTATTCTTCTTTTATTTCTTTCCTATTTCGCTATTTTTAATTAGGTTTCTCTGTGAGGAAACAATTTATAAGTTGTTATTTTTTGGTTTGAATAACTTTTGGCTTGGTTTATGTATTTTAGAGATGTTTTCTCTCGGTTATCTCTATTAAAGTGTTGTATACTTAGACTCGGAGGCTTCTTACATCATCCAACTTGCAGCAACAACTGTTCACAGCAGAAAAATTGCTTCTATCAGTACTAATTCGTTGTCTTGTCATTATCCACACCACAATTTCAACCGACAACCCTCTTCTACATTTGTGATGCACTGTTTCTAGATTTTCCTTCTTGCTTTTTTATCAGAACAGCCACCGAACATCATCAATCCCTCTCCAAATATCATTGATTGCCCAAAATTTCATCCCCTTACTATTTTTCTACCCCTATAAGCCCCAGATCAGTATCACACCATCTTGATCCAATCAAGTTATAGGCATACCG